TGCCATGTTGAAAAATCTACATACAATTTCTTGTGAGGGAAAAAAAAAGTCAAACGTAAAAAGAGGAAAGATACTGAGGGCTGTTTCCCCTTTATGAGGATAAGCATTCAGAACCCTCTGACTCTCACCATTTAAGATTTTCTTGTGCACTAAGAAGTTATATCACTAAATGTCTAGGTGAAATCCATACAGACACAAGGATGATATAGTCACATCCCTATCCTGCACTACAAAAATCCACACTTGGATTTACTTGTGGTTGTCACCAGTAAAACAAGCCAGCTAACACTGGCTGCAGTCATGGCATACTGATAAACAGCAGTTTTCCTTAATCACCTATATATATCCTGAAAACAATCTAGAAAATAACCTGAAGTGGATTTCTCCAGCCCTTCCCAGTTGTGGCCAGCACATCCTTGAATGTGATGCCTGTTTAAAATGTTGAGAACAGTTTTGCCTATCTGAGATGAAAACGGTGCTTCCCTGCCCTCACATACAATTCAACAGAACTAAAATGGAATAATATTTCTCTCTTTCCCTGCTCCCTTCCACTGCATACCTATGACAACAAGTCATTTTTGTGCCTTAAGTTTGTATTTTCAACTACATTTATGCTCTTGAACAGAAAAAGAAAAATTTGGTTTACCCAATTCAAATCAAGAAGAAAATCTTACGTTGCTAAAAGTGGCACATCTCTTTGACTTCAGTGAGGTCAGGATTTTACCTCTCAAATGCAGCTTTGTGATGTTAATAACTTTAGCAGACACAATTTAATTTATGCAGCCATCTTTTTTACCTGTATTCTACTTTTATGTGTTTCTATACTTACAATAGAGATATCCATCTCTAATTTTTTTATAAAGCTATAAAAATTAGATTCCAACTAAACCACAATTTGCCATGCTTACTTCATTACTTTTCATATTTAAATGTATCATTCTTGCAAAGAACAGTCCTACTGTTCAGCAAAGTCCTGATCAAACCCCTAGCACAGTCAGTGGAGCACCCCCTTTGACTGCAGAAGGAGCTGGATCAGGCCTTAAGCATGGGGCTCTTTAACATGTCTTCTTCTCATGTACTCGCCTAGTTGTTCAACTAGATGTAACTGAGGAATGTATAAGTGTTGCAGCTAGTGCACGTGTCTCATTTTGGAAAGTAGATTTCTGAAATTTGATTTTGTATGGAGAAAACATGTTGGCTCCCAAATGCACCTTGTGCAAGTGTAAATTATTTTTTAATATCTTTTTTTTTTTGATGCTGCTATTACTTCAAAGCTCTTTGAATCTCTTGCATCCCTTGTATATGTTTGGAATTTGAAAAGTTAAAGCTGGGTGGTTTAACGTTATAGAAATAGAAAATCTCACATTTATAATAGCAAGGACAACTAGCCATCAGAATAGCAACAAACACTGCCAAAACTAACATCAAGATTGATTGCCTTTCTGAAAGGTATAGCCCTACCAGTATGGAGTTACTGAATGTGAGGCAGGGATTAATACCAGGATGTCCATATGGGCTCTGCTAAATAGGAGGTCTGACAAGACAATCCAATAGCCCCTTCTGGCTTTAAAAACCCCTAAATCCATGAAACCCAGAACACTTTCTGTTGGAACACATTTGCTACAACTGCTGTGATTCACCCTCCTTGTTACTCTCTGGGGCTCCCTGCCAAACACAGGAAAATAAGGTTTTAAGCCCAGAAGGATTTCTACAGTAATACAAGATATTGATCCCTGTGTTGTTTTCAGCAGCAGCTTGTTTCTCTGTCCAGGTTCCTTAGAATCCCAGTGTGCCCAGCAGATTAATGCTGAGTAACTGCAAGACGTTATGAAAACATGGCACATATTTTACTATATGTTGTTCCATTATCCAGAAACAAGAGAGACATTGGTGTAGATTTGAGCCAGCGTTTATGAAAATCTGACTGTGTACTGAAATGCCAAAGGTAGCTTACAGCCAGTGGCATCTTTTCTGTAGCAATAGGCTAGACAGGGATGTTCCACCTTCTGAAGGCCATGAACTGAATGCAAGCATGGAAGATGGGACTGATACTTGGAAAACTACACCAACATGAAGAGACACATATCAGTGTGATGGGCATCTTAGAGCTACAGAAAACTGAGGAAAACTGAACTCTGTCATTTTCATAGAAAATGTTGTGCTCCTTTCTTCTTTCCTTGGGCCAGAGTCATTTATTTTTCAAGATACATCTCGGTCTCTTAGAGATCAAACTTATGTCCAACAATAACATAGCTCCTTACAACAACAAATGTTATATTACCCGTGGGCAATGACAGCATCGGAGGGATTTTAGCTGGTTTTTGTGTTTTGTTGTTTTTTGTTTGGTTTTTTTTTTAATCATTTGCAGGACTTTTTTCCCAATTTTTATTTTGAGTGCAGTTAAGTGTCCCACCAAATGAAGATTTCCTGAGCATCAGTAAACAGACTTATCCACAGTTACTCAGAGCTGTGTAGCTTGCTCCAGATCCTCTGTGGGTGGGACCAACACAAAATGAGTTGAAGATTACATTACTTCCAGACAAACCGCTCTTGCAGAGTTGTTACTATCTCGGAGGAACATAGTAATTTCCAGATATGGCAATTCCCAGCTGACAAGTTTGATCCACCCTTTTGAGCCATGAACACTCGTGGTTACCTTTCCTTACCCACAGCTGAAAGGCTTAGGAGCTCATCCACATTTGGAAAAGGTACTGCGAAGTACCACTGCAGAGACTCTCTGTGCTTTGTAGTCTGCAATGTCGCTCGCAGGGAATTGTCATAGAGGAGGCATGACAAAACTGCGCTCCCAGTCCTCCATGCAATATCTTTGCTTCAATCTGACAGAACACATACTGAAGTTGGGGCTGGGGGAGCCAGCTCTTAACACTTTAGCTCAGTGTTCAGCTAAAGGCTGCCTCTGGGTTTTCCAACAGCTGCAACAATTCGACTGAACTCCAGAAACTGACCCTGTAAGAGACAACCAGTGTACGCGTTACCAGAGCAAATGACGATTGTAGGCACTGGCCTATACGTATGCCTATCTTGCTATATGGGCAGAACACCAACCCACGGAAAGGAACTTCCTATTTTGCATATTTAAAAAATGTCTATACTATGACTTTTTACTGTTCTTTCAAGTTCTAGCCTTTAAAAAAGTCAAAAAAAAGAAAGGGTGGAGGAGGTTATGTTTGTTACAAAAATGCATTTCTCTGTGATACTGTGGCACTGTGCCTTTTTAATTCTTTTAATTTTCTTAGATGCTTGACCATCTCTTGCTCACATGTTCAGGATAAAACACACACCAGGCTTAGAGAGGACTTTCCTTTCTGGTCAGTTCAGGAGGAATCTGGAGCCATTTTTCCGCAGGAAGAGCTGGGGAGGATCAGATGACCCTCTCTCTGCCAATTGAAGTCTTTCCTAATACATTTCCACTCACAGACCTCAGGTGCTGGTTACATCCTGATCTCTCCTCCTCTCACCAGAGAAAATAGCAGTTGTGTCCCATGAGGAATTAACCTAACCAAAGTCCCTGGGCTGGGGATAATGTTTTACTGGTGCAACAGATACAGCTTGTGGTTTATAGGGTATCATCAGATGAGATAACTTGAATGCCTTATGAAACTATGCAACTTGTTGGTATTTAAAAATCATAGATATATTATCGAACATCTGTTACGCTACACATCATAACATTTATTGTAACATACCGTACAATATGCTGCAGTATGTTAGTGATAATAATAACTATGATAATTACACATACAAAAAAGGATGTGCGACTCAGAAGCATTAAGTATAACCAAAATATAAATCTCTCTGACAGTGTGTTCTCATCTATAATGTAAAACCCTACATGAAAGAAAAACACAAACAGCACAAGATATCTGAATTGCAGCTCTGATTGAGATCCAAACAAACTAAAGTTAGGTGTAAGGGCAGTGTGTACCCAGGACCATAAATAAATAAAAGGAAGCAAGAAAATAGCCTCTTTTTACATCCAGACAGTCCAGAGAATAATAATGTGCTAGTTTTTCAAATCCAAGTAGCTATTGAAGATTGTAATGATTTCAGTCTAAAAAGCAACGTTGGAAAGCCTCTTCAGAGATTGCAAGCTCCCACTGTGCAGAAACATTGTGTCACTGCACATGGGTGTAATGGAGACAGACAAAAGGAATACTTCAAGGAAAGACGTGGGGGAGCACTGGATGATGTACTCTCCCAGAAAACCTAGTTACAGTTTTACCAGTGACATAAAAAAGAAGGGGGGGGGGGGGGGGAAAGAAGGGTGGAGGAAGAGACAACCGGATGAAGGGGGAAATGGTCATTTCGTGCCCTAATCTGAAAACACTATCTCAAAAACCTGATTATATTACAAACAGAGAAGCTTAAGGCATCCTTCTCTATCATCAAAAATGGTACTATCAATTTTCTGTGAGAAAGTACCACAGCATAGTTCGAGGTTTTCCACACATCCTACAGTAACCTACCGTTCAGGTCTGATCTCTTCAGACTTCTCTATTGACCTTTCCATACAGAAAGAAATTGAGAAGCACCACAAGGGCTGTGTTAATTATTCTTAAACTTGTGTGCTTGCAGCATGTTTCACTCTGTATATTTAACTTGCCTTAACAAAAAAATCAGCATAGGTTGTTACACAAACAGAAGACACACTAATTAAGGTGAAATTACTCAGACTACTTCAGTTTATACAAAGATTTAAGCCTGGATTATCATTTAAAGATGGTAAACATTGTATAAAGCATCACTAGTAATTACATTTTATTTACTTCCAAGGGCTGAGCCTGTATAATATTTATGAGGTGGAGAAAAATACTGTACTTTCAGGAAATTATGTTTTCCAGGAACAAGTCATCAAGGCTTCTTGTTTTTTCTTAGGGAAACCAATCCACACAATAAAAACATTCAACCCCATGTTTTTAATTATGATATTGAGAAAAGTCTTGGTATTTATACTAGAGGTGATAAGGATGAAAACACAATTTTTACTTTTTTTTTTTTTTTTTAAATGCATCTACTTGTACAGGAGTTGAAGCATTGACTGAGAGAGGAGTGAAAGGAGAAACTCAGGATTCCTCTTTCCTATAGAAGGACATTCTTTATTCTGATAAATTCAAGTGACAAAGATTGAGCTCTAGGCAATGGTCAGGCACCTGGAAAAAATACATTAAGCACTTTCTTTTCATACTGGGTAGAGTCATTTCCAACTCTGATGTTTTACTGTTTTGAGTACAGTCAAAGCCTTTGTGTTTCTTGAAGCTTTTCAGTCAATACTTTTCTCAAGTAGGGTCCTACAGGAATGGAGATGTAATTTTAGAAATAGCCACCCAGAAGTTCCCAAGGGAGCCAGCCAGGTTATTGCTGATATCTTGATTCCCAAGCCCAGTGTTGACATTTTGCTCTTGACAAGTGTCAGCGACAAACCCTGACAGAGAGGAAAGTTCCTGGGCATCAGTTGGTCCCACAGGCAGTGGCTGGGATGGAGGGTGGAGAAGAACCTCTCTGTACATCTTTGCTGCTGAAGCATGAAAAGAACCAGCAATAATTATGACTGACGGACATTTGTTGAACATGAAAGGAAGGGGGGGGGGGGGATTTCTTCAAAGATCTTTTCAGCCCTTTGTCACTTCTAGCTTCTACTTCCTCTAAGGCATTTGCATCCATGTAGCAGTTCCCTTCACTTCTAAGTGTACTTCATTGAGAAGACCATGGTGCACAGCTCAGCAATAATAATGCATCCAGGCTGCATGCAAAATATCACTTACAAAAGATGCTAGAAATTCTAACTAGAACAAGAAAAACAGAAGAAACAATCCTGTGCAAACAAATATAGTGCAGTCATAGTTCCCCGGTGTGCTGGGTTCAGCAGTAGCAGTCATTTTTCTCCTTCTTAGTAGCTGGTGCAGCACTGTGGTTTTGACTTTCAGCCTGGGAAAAACACTGATAACACCGATGTTTTTAGTTGCTGCTCAGTAATGTTTAGTCTGGCCAAGGACTTTCTGAGTCTCATGCTCTGCCAGGGAGGAGGGGAAGCCGGGAGGAAGCAGAGACAGGACACCTGACCCAAACTAGCCAAAGGGGTATTCCATACCACAGCACATCATGCCCACTATTTAAACTGGGGGCAGCTCCTCGGAAGGGCCAGATTGCTGCTCGGGTCAGGCTGGGTATCGGTCGGCAGGTGGTGAGCAGTTGTAATCTCTCCCTTTGTTATTTCCTTTATCATTGTTATTATTGGTGGTAGCAGTAGTGATTTGTGTTATACCTTAGTTACTAAACTGTTCTTATCTCAACCTGTGGGAGTTGCATTCTTTTGATTCTCCTCTCCGTCCCTCCGGGAGCTGGGGGAAGAAGAAGAAGGGGGAGAAAGCGAGCGTCTGCATGCTTCTGAGTTACCGGCTTGGCTTAAACCACAACACCCAGTAACGCATATATGTGAAAATCTTCAGGTGCAGAAATATTCCTTTTCAAACCCATGCTAAAACTGGAAGCTCTCTGGTGATTGAGAGCTTTCACTTTCTTGCTTGATGTTTGTTCTACACAAAAAGAGAGCCCAGCCTTTCAAACACTTTTGCCCTTAAGTATTTTAACAAATACCCAGCTGGGTGCAGAACTCAGGGCAATCACCAAATTTATCACGACTTTTAAGATCAGATATCTCTATCCTAACTGTAACTAGGATTTTTTCTTGGCTGTAGGCTCTAATAATCACTATAAAATTTGGTGCATAAGTAAATAATTGCAATCCTAACAATATTAGGAGATCTAAGATATAAAGCATAAAGGAATCCATTCTAGTAATGTATGTTTTACTTCATTTTCTTAGGATTCAAAAATAAATAAAAAGATGAGGAAAGCGGAAAGAAAAACATTAAAAAATAGCAGGATGCTGCTGCCACTGATGTCTATGGCAACTGGCAGAAATCCCATGCATTTTAATGGCAGTAAGATTTTCAATTTTTAGAACTTGTGCCCTACATATCTTTCGCCTTCAGCTCTTCTCGACAGCATTGACTACATGATGTTCTGAAATATGAACCTCCAAAATACAGTCTTGGCCTGTTGGAAAGGTTTACTTTTTTTTTTTTTTTTTTAATTTAACTTGTGCTCAGATTTCAAACATGGGCATAGGAATTATATTTTTATTTTACTACATAAGGGACTGAACAAGTCTTGATGCTGACAGAACACTTTATGTGATATTTAGCAACAAAGAAGGAAACTCTGCCAGCCCAGAATTCACAGGAGCAGGAGTTGGCTAAATTCATGGCATGGTGTGGGAAAATTACCTCAACACTGTCTACTTCTGCTGATTTTTCCTTATGCTGACACTTCTGATGCCCTGAAAGTTGCTGTGCTCACATCCTCTGCTGCTGGTGTCAAAGAACACTTTCAGTCTTCACATGCCAAGATGAGGAAAACCTACTGCAACGCCCAAAAGACTTAACTCCTGTCAAATATATTCATTTAACACAGGAATTCTGGTCTATGGTTCTTAAGCCTTAAAGTGATGGCATGAAGGAGGAAGGAAGAAAAAAACAAGCAGTAACTTCTTTAAAACAAAATCTTCTATTAACAGGTAGAGCCACTCCAGTCCATTGTAGGAGACAGAGACAAAAAAGTGTTAGCTGCAAATGCAGAATTAGATTTTCAAATTAGTACTGTAGACAAAGGATCGTACGCACTCCTATTGAAAAATAGGAAAAATATTTCCCCCATGTAAAAAGAGCCTACTTGATCATACTTTTGAAGATAAAGTTCTTCTTGTGTCCAGACCACTGTCATCAATTGCGTTACTTTCAGACATTAGTGAGGATTTAGAATTGTTAAGTTCTGCATGAAGAAACATATAAAATAAATTTGATCAGCAATTCTGGGTGCAGGCTTGTTGTGGTTTAAACCCATCCCATAAATCAGCACCATGCAGCAGCTCGCTTACCCTCCCACCTTTTCCCTCCCCAGGCGGCATGGGGAGGAGAATCAAAGACATGAAAAACCCATGGGTTGAGATGAGAACAGTTTAAAAGCTGAAGTACAATATAATACTACTAATGATAACAATAATGGGGGAAAAAACAAGGGGATACAATAAAATAAAAGGGGAAAGGTTAAAAAACCCAATAAATACAAGTGATGAACCACAAAAGGAAAATGACGGGCAGGCAGCAGCCCTCGAACACCTCCCCTACCTACTTCATGTAATTGGTCAAAAGGAGAATGTCAAGAAATGGGATGTGCAAGAAAAAACCTAGCAACATCTGCAAGGCAGGTGAGATTATCTCTCTGTCTAGCCCAGGAAGTGTCATCTGAAGGTTTGCATGTACTTGAGTGCTCATGCTGGAGAAAAGTGGACCAGCTGGAGCACAGTGGAAAATCGTCATCCTGCAAGAAAAGCCTGAAGGAACCGGGCATATTTAACCTTTAACCAATGAAAATGAAAGGAGGCATTTGTGCACTGGCTGCAGTATGGAAGAGAATAAGCTATTTAACAGGCCCATTTTGGGTGAAAGAGGAAACAACAGATTCAAATTTATGCAAGGAAAAGTAGTTGTAATGAAGCACTGGACTACATACCGTGGGCAACAATGAAATTTCACCCAGCGAGGGTCTTTCAGAGCACTTAGGACAAACATGAATGACATAGGTATACTTTGATCCTGCACTGGAACCATAAAATTTGGAATCAGAACAAAAAACAAATAAAAACCAAACAGACAAAAAAAAAAAAGTAAAAAGTCACTTTGAGCTTTTTTATTTTTCAATCATTTATTCTTAGGGTGAAACACAGAAAAGTTTTCAATGGTGAGGATGGACAGAGGGACCTGTTTCTCTCTCTCCCATTCCTGCCCCTTCCCCCTTCTTATCCATTTTCTTTCCCATAAATTATCCTAGAAAAGGAACCATTCCTTTCCAAAACAACATAAAGTTCAGGTAAACTAAGAAGTGGGTCTGAATTGCACTTGCTATCGCAAGAACAAGACTTTACAAATACGATTTTAATTTTTGTAAAATATCTCCATTTTTAGACATCTGCCAATAAAAGCGTAAACAGAAACTTCTGATTTTTTTTTCCCCACACTTCACTGTCAGAACAGTGCAACCAAGTAGCTGGTAGAAAAGAGAACTTTCTGGGGATTGCCATTAAAGTCAGGATACACTCACAGCTTTTCTATTTGCTTGGAGACTATCAGTATTTCCCAAATAGCCAGAGAAATAATTTTATGAGGAGTGAAGGTGTTTCTACTGGAAAAGGATTATCCAGAACACATCACAAACTTTTTTATTAATCCTAAGATTCACAGTAAACTTGCAGGAACTTTTGAAACATATCATGAGAAGATACAATGAGAAGTGTAAGAGGAAAAGACAAGAAAATTAATAAAGACAGACTCAGAATATATTCTGGAAGTATGCAACTGTTTGAAATCTCCAAGACAAAGCATCTGAGATTTGAGTCAATTGCAAGGTAGATTTATAGAGCAGATGTAAAATCAAACGCTAAGATACACTTGTCATACTTCTCACTAAAACATAAACTTCCCGTTTAGACCACAATCACAATTTAATACATGAGTTGAAGACACACAGAACAAGCATGATCCTTATGAGGGATTGTGCAGCTGACTTTTGCCCATCTTGCATTTCACAGTACTTCAGTATGTTTGGTTTTCAGTACATTCTTTACAATACAGCAAAGGGAGTCAGTACGGAAAAAAGAATGCAACATTTCTTGGTATCATCTGTTTACCTAACACAGAACTGGAAATATTTTGAAGGTAACAAAAATTCAGAGAGAGCAGAGTCTGGCCACCATTTAGGCACTAGCTATATTTGTTGATTCTTTATTTCATTAGGAATCTCAGTCTCCAGATCCTGCCTGTGTGCACAATACGGTCTTGAGCTTCTCCTGTGCTATGCTGCTGTTCTGAGGGGTTTTTCTCCTTCTCTTGTATTTGTTCTGCAATACTGAAGCATTTTTTAAAATACAGAAAAGAGCACACAAACATCCAACTAAGCCCAAAAAATCAAGCATGGCACAGTAGGAAAAGAAAGCTTCTGGGGAGAGAAAGCAAAGCTGTGTGACAGATGGAATAGTCTCAATGGATGAATGGTACTACTACAAATAAGTAGCAGGCAGCCAGAGGGAATCAAATAATGATTATAGAAGAAAAATGAGGGTTAAAAACATGGGGTAAAAAACCTTCGGCACTGGCAGAAAATTCTAGAGTAGCAACATACAATTTTTTTTTTGTTTTTTTTTTTTAAGGAAGATTTCATTATATGCTTCCCACAAACAGGGAAATCGGTAAAGGCAAAGAAGCTAGACAGCTGACAAGTGAGCCAGTGTGGACAGTATAAAAAGCTCAACATCTCCTTGGAGAGGAAGGAATGTACTCGAGGATTTGGTCTGGCATGCCCCCAAACCTGAACAGATTACTTTCTGACAATCAATACCTGTAACCACCAGAGGCCTGTTGCAGAGTTTAAAAAAAAATAAACAAAAGAAGAAAAAATTCCACTTCAAAGAGACCTGGTCCCAAGCTCACATTTTATTTTTGCCACTTGGTGCTGAGGCAAGAGCTTTGGACAAGGCTCGTTTTTCATCTCTTTATAGGGCTGTGGATTGAATATGAAGTGTCGCTGCATGTTCTCAGGGCTTTGCTCCATCAGTTTCCTGTCCCAGAGAGGAACATGTTCCAGATCACATTTGTCCCCTTTGACCAGATCTTTCATAACAGCCTGATTAATATCTCCTTTAATACCATGACTCTTTATCCACCTGTAAAGGTAAAAAAAGAAAATACCTATGTTTTCTTCATTTAAGTCCCTTTTTTTCTTTGGAGAGAGACAGAAAAGCCAAAAAGGTTCCTTGTTTTATTTGAAATGCCACTGATCAAGTGTTATATCCAAATACAGCTGTGCTATTTCACAAAAGAACAGTAGACACATTTTCATATACTGTAGTATACCTCAATAGAAATTAAACCTAAGATTTTTCCCCATAATATAATGACAAAAAGATGTTAAAAAAATGCTTTTAGATATTATTATGGGTACAAAGCAATAATTCATACAGGTTTCTGCAGTCACAGAGACTTCTGTACAATGTGATGTCTCCTGTTACAATTCTCCTTTTTTCTCTCACACATTTTAGCTTCATTTTCTTTTGTCTTTCTCTCATTCATTTTTCAAATACTGAAAGGCAGTGCACACTTTCCACGAAGAGCTGATATGATTTATTTTTTTGCCAGTCTAAAGCATGTTGCTGAAAATGACCTATCTGAATAAGGAAAAACAAGACACAGAGGATCAGAAAATCTAAGCAGCTTTTTAAGGAAACAGCCAAAAAGAAAAAAAAAATAGAAAAACCCACAACAAAATAAAGCAAACCCAAAGAAAGAATGAACTGTATTATTAATAGCAAACTCCAGGATGATGGATGAAAAGAACAACAATATCCTTTAATCATAAAGCACTAACATTCCAGCAGTGCTGGTAAGTGAGTAGAGCAGTGAAACCATTTGAGACTTAAACAGATGGATTAGGAAAGGTTCCACTATGGGTTCCTGGACAGATTTCAAACCAGTAGCCTGATTAACTAATGCACAAAAAGCAAGTGATTCTTCTAATCAATAAGCTTTTATGTAAGCATATTCAAGTTATAATATTTAAACACAGCAGACAAGCGGGGAATCAGGAATTCCTCATGCTGCACTAACAAAGCAGTAAGTTTTACTTGAATCTGGAGATCTCTTTTTTTTTTTTCCCCAGTAACTCTCACAGGGGTCTTATAGCTAATGTTTTCACCACATATTCATCAATATATTAACAGCTCCTGAAGGTTTTGTGAAAATGATGTTCCAAGTCAAAAAGCTGTTATTTTTTTAGATAGTGTTTTAGGGAGAAGTTAACTAGATTTTCAAAGGATGGAAACTACACATGAAAACTAATCATTGATTGACTTTCTTAGTGAGCACAATTTCCACAAGTAATTAGAGAGGGAGTACAATAAAAACCCCAGGTCACAGGGGTTCATACCCTTCAGCATAAATAACATATTTTTCCTAAGTATTTTTCCATGTAAAATGGTGACGACTTTATATAGATATTTTTATATATCTTTATTTAAAAATATCTTTTAAAATCATTTAAAGAAGGTTACAATTTTTAAGGAATTATTTCTGAGTGCTTAGAATTGCAGACATAGATATGATATTTTATAAAGTTTGCTAAAACTGACCCAAAATAAATCTTTATATGACATTATAAGGTCTATTTTTTGTAATATTGCAGGGATGGGGTAAATTTCAGACACCTGTATGATACTTGGACTTCTGGACCATGCTCTCTAGTACTCCATTAATGCCAGAATCAAGAGAGATGCAGATCTATACTGATTAACTATCTAGATTTCCCTTTCCAGCTGAGATCTGGCTACAAGATACTTGACCTTAAGCCTGACACTTACCAAGACAGGAATTTTGCTTCTTTTGCATCAAGTAATACTCTTTAGGAAACACTTCTATAACAGTTACGAATTTTCACATTTCTGAGTCATTATGAGGTTTTCAGAAGTAGCCCAAGTGAGACAAACAAGCAGAAGACATAGTCAGAAGGTACATAGTGAAAACACTTTATTATATGACTTTGTGATATCACAGGATTCTTTGTGGCTGTCACCAAATTGAATCACCTGTTTAAAAAAAAGAGAAAACGGAAAAATACATTTAACTTACACAAACCAGAACCAGCAGAGAATCACGGGAGTATGCATGGAATATGAGTCTCTGCTTAGCTTAGGTAACACATAAACCCAAATGGAGTTTCAAGCGATTAATAAGGAAAATGATTAGTTCAGGATCAACACACACATTTGAAGAATACATCCTTAGAGCCTCATAACTCAGCCAGACCAAAACAGCTTTTAACAGGACTAATGAAAGACACACCCGGAATTTATGGACTATGCTGCTACCAGATTTGCATACTTTCCATGCTGCACAGTTGCTCTCAGGTTACAAAAAAATTTTCATAAGGAAATTTCTATCAACATTTTTTTTTTTTAATTACCAAGGAAATTAATCAGATTTTCTTCAAGGTTCATGTCATTTTCAGCCAAAAAAAAAGAAACCCTAATATTTGATGAAGTAAGAAAGAACTTTCTGGGTTTTTAAGACATTGCAGAATCAAATGTCTCTTATATAAACGTCCTGCTTTTTGCCAGTGTACAAAGTAGTCATTACATGTGTAGTATTTGTCACTGGTTTCTTGCCTGCTAGAGACCAGTTTGTAATTGCCTGATGTGAGCCTTCCAGTATCTGAAGGGGGCCTACAAGGATGCTGGGGAGGGACTCTTCATTAGGTACTGTCGTGATAGGACAAGGGGTAACAAGTTAAAACTTAAACAGGGGAAGTTTAGATTGGATATAAGGAAGAAGTTCTTTCCTGTTAGGGTGGTGAGGCACTGGAATGGGTTGCCCAAGGAAGTTGTGAATGCTCCATCCTTGGCAGTATTCAAGGCCAGGTTGGATGGAGTCTTGGGTGGCATGGTTTAGTGTGAGGTGTCCCTGCCCATGGCAGAGGGGTTGGAACGAGATGATCTTAAGGCCCTTTCCAACCCTAACTATTCTATGATTCTATGTCTCAAGGGCTTCACACTGGCCTGGAGTATTAGACTGCTGTGGTTCTGGGACTGCACCTCTTTCCATCAAGGAGTTTGGTTTCCACAACCTAGAGTTACTGGCTTTCCTGGGTCATCTTTAAATTGCTCTGCTGAGTCCAGCTTAGTACCTGTGTAGGTCTGAATATATGTATATATTTGCCTTGAGGTTTGTAATGGAAATGTTCTTCATAAATTGAAAAAGCATAGTAGGGTACAAAATGCCTACAGCCCCAAAACAGTAATAAGTCTTTTAGTCTACTACAAGAACAGTGTCTTTCAGTCCCTGGGGTATGAACCTCACAGGATGAAATGTCATGGTCAGAGTGACTAAGCAGTTTACAAAAGAATATAGTAAACTGATAGTATTTGATAAAAACCTTTCAAGGTAGCAAAGACTGATCCTTCTGGGTTTCTGAAAGGGTTCTTTACCTTTCTCAGACTAAACCTGTCTATGTTCCAGTTTTAACTCCAAAGTCTTTCTTCTTTTTCTCTTCCCTCGTTGGAACTTCAGACTCAGGCCAGGTTTTCACTAACTCAATCCCAACCATCAGCATATGCAGCATGTAGCGTTTGGAGCAATGGAAGCATAAATTCTCTCTGCTTTTTCTAGTTATTCAAATTCTGTGACATTTTGTGACGATCTGAGGGCATGTTTACAAGCAGTAAAAATACACTGATGTCATGAATAGACTACAACCCAGATGCTATGATTCAACTTCAACTGCCAATTACTGCTATTTTGAATACAAACAAGTTTGAAAGTAAAAGCATTAAATTAAGAACAGAAAATATATTACACAGAATATTTTGAAGCATTATCCTATTTCTATTTTAAGTGTCACTATGGATTCCAACAAAGGAAAAGTTTTCTTACCCACAATTAAAACAGTAAATAGTATCATTCTCTGTGTAGCTCCTAGGAGTTCAGTCCCCCACAGTTAGCTGTGGAATGCTTCACACTGCTACAGTAGGGCAGTTCAACGTTTCAACCTCTTACTGTAAAAATTAACCTGTTTTTTCTAATGCATTTTGAACTCTATTCACAGAAGCCCACATTGCATGAAATTCACAGGCTCCCACAGAGACAAAATAGTTCTCTCTTTTGGTGCACCACTGAGGAATGATAAAAATAGTTGAACATATGAGGAAAAAAAAAAGATAAATTCCCTTTGGGGACCAGAGTGTCTTTGTCTCACAAGAAAGAAGAAAATAGATATGTGTATATTTGTACAACTACATAAAATTTCTGTGTACTATACTAAGTAGTTAAATAGTCTACATTCTGGAGTACACTGAATCTCAAACCTACCTAATTATACTTCCTGTCTATTCCACATGTAGAAGAACAGTGCATTAATTTCATTTGCTGAGTAACTAATAGCAGTTGTTACTTCCATTTACTGTGAAAACAAATACCAGCATGTGTAAGAAGCATATAATTTTGTGTGATATATAGACATATGAGCATGTATCTAAATGCGTATGCACTTCAATGCAGCTGTATGTGTTCGCTGCAAAGAAAAAAAATTCATCATTGCCATCTTTATCTTGTTATCTGACTTCACCAGGTGGTTTAGCTGGGTGGAGTCCTACATCAGTGGTATAATGCTTACATAGAAAGGTTGGAAGTTACTTGAACCTGAAACAACAGCAGGACAAGGTTTTTCATTAAATCCTTGATAATTAACCCTAAAATGACACCGGTGACCTTGGAGACAGAACTAGGAGTTTACTTCACCAGGACTATAAAAATACTGTTACAGTCCTGATGTGCATATATATGCAGATCTCAACCTTTTGCTCTGTTCTACTGTGTTCTGAGTTATTTTTAGGAACAGTTTTAAGATGTTGCAGCAGTAAGACCAGATATAGTACATTTCATCTTAAACCATACCTGTATACTTGAATATATGGGAGAGGCATTGAGTGACACTTTTAAAACAGCACAACAAACTTATCTGAAGTTAAATAAAGGATATGTATCTTCATTACTGGATGTGGTGAATTTCTTTTTTGAATGGTGTGTGCTTTAACAGCACTCTATTCCTGCCTATATGCCTTTGAGTGAAAGCAGTTTTATTAGATGTTTCAGCAGCCTTCAGATTATATCCCATAAA